TGGAGAGCTGCTTGAGCCTGGGTGGCCACCGAGCCCCTGTGGTCACCGTAGACTGGAGCACTGCCATGGACTGTGGGACCTGCCTCACTGCCTCCATGGATGGCAAGATCAAGCTGACTACCCTACTGGCCCATAAAGCCTGATGGCCTGCCCCAAGGGCCACCTGAGGAAGCAGTATTATCTGGGGGTGGGGGAGATACAGGACAAGAAAACTGGGCGCTCCACTCCAGCTCCCTGCCAGTGCAGCCAGTGCAGTGACTCTGCAGGGAAAGGCTGGCCAGGGGGCTTAGGCACCTCCATCTGCGGTGACTAGAACAGGACCCACGTGGAGTAGGTGGCATATGCTTCCCAGAGACTGGTATCATGGCTGTGCCAGGAGTACACATGAGACTGTGGGAGGAAAGCTCTGGAGGAAGGAGAAACATTGAGGTGGCTACTGTGTTGGCCCAGTAGAAATTGACAGTATTTTGTATATATGTGCCCGTTTTTCTTTTTTTTTAAAAAAGAATGCTCTCGTGGTTCCCTAGTGTGTCTCTAGGATTTGTGTCACTTTGCTTCAGTGACAGCCCTCCCACCCTGCCTGGCTCTGCTGGCCCTGAGCTGAACCTCCCCCAGGCTCTCCTGTTGCTCTGCCATGGAGCCAGGTCAGCTCTCTGTCCATTCTTCTGGGTGACAAGGTTTTGCAGTTCCTGTTTCTCTGGGCTTAACTCAAGGCCACAAAGTTCTTTTTCGTCCCTGAAAGCTGGCAGCTTTTGTTACAGAACCATCTCAGGGTGAGGGCAGGGGCTGAGGCCTCTGCCACTGGCTGCCCCTTTACATCCAGTGGCTACTATTTCTTAAGACAGGCTAAGCATCCCTTATCTGAAATGCTTGGAACAGGAGTGTTACGGATTTTAGATTTTTTCAGACTTGGAATATTTGCATATATACATAACGAAGTATCTTGGTAGATCCCATGTCTAAACATGAAGTTCATTCATGTTTTATATATACCTTATACATGTATCCTGAAGGTAACTCTATACAGTATTTTAATTTTGTATAGGAAACAAAGTTTTGACTGTGCTCAGGTATGCGATTTTCTACTTGTGGTATCATGTTGGTACTCAAAATTTTGGGGCTGGGCATAGTGGCTCACGGCTGTAATCTCAGCACTTTGGGAGGCCAAGGTGAGTGAGTGGATCACTTAAGGTCAGGAGTTCGAGACCAGCCTGGCAAATATAGTGAAGCCCTATCTCTACTAAAAATACCAAAATTAGCCGGGCGTGGTGGCAGGTGCCTGTAATTCCAGCTACTCTGGAGGCTGAGGCAGAAGAATCGCTTGAGCCCAGGAGGCAGAGGTTGCAGTGAGCTAGGATCACACCATTGCCCTCCAGCCTGGATAACAGAGGGAGACTCCGTCTCAAAAAAAAAAAAAAAAAAAAAGTTTTGGGTTATGGAGGATTTTGAATCTTTGGGTTAGGGATGCTCAACCTGTACCTCTTTCATTTGGTGGCTCCTCTCCTTCCTCCACTGAACATCCTTGTGGAAAGGTGACAGCTGCCTGCACCACCTGCTGATGAATGGGGAGAAGGTTCAGAGAAATAGGGCCAAGTTGCTGGTGGGCACCTGGGGTTCAGGCCAGCCCAACTGTGACTGAACCCACCTGTGGCTGAGCTGAGCATCAACCAGCTGTGTCCACACCCGGCCTGAGGCCTGCCCTCTCCTCCCTGGCTGGGGTGGGACCTTGAAGAGGCAGATCCTCCCATTAGGTGAGGAGCAACAAGAGACCTGCTCCCCTTCTCCCTCTTGCTTTTCACAGCTGAGGCGGAGCTTATGGGAGTCACTATTAGAGTGAAGGGCCTGGGCTTTGGTCTTCGATGCCTGGCAGGGGTGACCTTATCACTGAGATGGGGAAACAGCTGCCATGAGTCATTTTAGTCTCTGATCTCCAGCCCCGTTCTGGGGGCACAAGGGTGGAGTAGGGATACTCCTGGTTACCTGCTTTAGGAAAAGCACAAAATAAATTGGCATTAAAGTCTTGGCTTTGTTCTGGGAGTTGAAGGAAAAGCAGGGAGGTATTTAAGTGGCTTGATTGAAACACCAGAGACAGTAGTAAGTAGTTATTTACTGATTTTTACCCATTTCTACCCTGGTAATCCTCCCTACAAATTAAGAAAACCAAGATTTCTTCATCTATCATTTTTCCCCATCTTCTGTATTGAAACAGCGATCTTATCTCACGCAGTGACTCCGTAGGACATTTAGAAAGGTGGTCATGGGTTTCATTGGAATGAGAATGTATTAATGTTTCCTCTCTTCATCTCAAAGTTTCTGTCTTATTACCTTTTCTCTCCTCTTAATACCATTTCTACAGTTTGCTTAGATGCTTTAAGGATCACAGAGACACAAAGAACATTTGAACCCAGTGCTCCTCTCATGCCACCTCTTCCTCCCCCGCCCCGGGGGAGCACTCGTCCTCAAATAAAGCATGTTGGAACTTGAGCTTCTCTCTCCTTCCACAGACCTGCTTGGTGTCTGCCCAAGAACCCAAGCAAGACTCCTCCATTGTCTTGGTTGAGGGCGGCATAGAAGAAACCTCTTTGTCAGTCCCAGCCTCAGTTTCCAGCCTAGGTGTTGACCCTCAGCTCTGGGGAGGGCTGCATGGAGCGCCTGGTGGCAGGTGCACTCCCCACTTCCTCTCTTCAGATACCTGCTGGTATTTGCCTTTTCTGCTTCATGGCCTCCATCAGGCCTTGGTTGTGTTCTGGGAGTTGAGGGCAAGTATTTGAATGGAGAGGGCCTCATAGCCAGTCCCCATTCAAATGCTTTAGGAGTTCAACATAATGTTTTGAAATATGTATACATTGTGGAATACAATGCAGAATGATTATATCTACCTAACTGACATGCATTACCTCATATGATAAATAACATTTTAGCTGTCAGTTAAAAAAAAAAAAATCCCCAACCCCCCAAATGCTTTGGGTGCTGACTCCAATCTGTGCAAATCACAGTTTGGATTCCTGACCCCTGCCTGGGGCAGGGAGCGTTTCTCCCTTCAGATAGCTGTTTAGGTACACTTGTTTCCTGCTCTTCCGGACTCATTTTCAGCAGGCTATGGAAAGAGGTTTTAAGGAGAGAAATGAAATGTGCAAGGGGTGGTTCTGTTAATGAAAAACTTAGTGATACTCATTAAAGCACAGTAAAGACCACCATCTCGATAGGTATAGGGACCACCACAATGGGGTCTTGCATGGCGGAGAGAGATTGGGCTCAACTCTGAATACAGGGTGCACAGTGGGAATTCATAGTCAAGGGGCAAAGGTGGTGGTTGGGGTCTGTGAATAGAAAATTACTAAGAGGAACTATCAGGGTAAGAGGGATTCTGGTGAAACTGACCTAACAGGACTGTTGCTTAAGACAGGCCAAGGCAATAGACCACTCCGGGATGGTAGAGGGTGAGGAGCCTGATAAGGGTTGGAGGGTGATCAGATACCCAAGGGGAAAGGGGTTTTTTGCTAAGACTGGATTTTACAAGGAAGCGCACAGACAGGCCTCGCAGAAAACTCAGAAGCCTGACTGAAGCTTAGACCCTAAGCCTCTCTGTCAGTTCTAATTATTGCCAAGGATTTCCCCCGCTCCCCCGAAAGTGACAAGGCAGAATAGCCAAGCATTTTATGTTCCTTTATTCACAAGGAAATGGTGCTTCTCCACCCTAGCCCGTGAGACCTGGGCTTGTCGGGGCTCAGCGGGTGAGAGCCGGGACCCTGGCTGTCAGTGACCGTAACCCCTCACGGCGGCGGCGCGAGTCCCGCGCAAGACTGCCCTCCCCGCGTGAGACACGCACGCCAGCTGCGGCGGTTCGGTTGTGACCCGAAGGCACTGGGGCCGCCCCTTCAGCCTTGCTATCTGGACTCTGTCCCTCGCGGCCCGGGGCTGATGGCGGAGATCCAGCCGCGCGGGTGTCGCTCCCGCGGCGGAGCAGCGCAGGGGAGGGAGCGGGATCTCCAAGCTCGCTGTGCCCGGGTGTGGGCGGCACCCATTCTAGTCGCCTATTTGTTGCGGATCCCGTTTCAGATAGCTGTCCCGACTTCCCATTTGGGGGCAGATCCCACCCCCTCCCCCTTTTTGGATACGGAATCTCGCTCTGTTGCCAGGCTGGAGTGCAGTGGCGCGATCTCGGCTCACCACGACCTCCGCCTCCCGCATTCAAGTGATTCTCCTGCCTCAGCCTTCCGAGTAGATGGGATTACAGGCTTACGCCACCACGCCCAGCTAATTTTTTGTATTTTTAGTAGAGATGGGGGTTTCACCATGTTGGCCAGGATGGTCTCGATCTCTTGACCTCGTGATCCGCCCGCCTTGGCCTCCCAAAGTGCTGGAATTACAGGTGTGAACCACCGCGCCAGATCTTATCAGATCATCCTTGCAAACTCAAAACGCCGCAGGGGAAGGCCTCACAGCGGGGATTTCCAGTCTGGGCTCAGGCCTCCTTTGGGCTGCCTGAAGCCAGGAGTGTGGTTTTTAACTAAAACTCAGCGCCGGCGCCACGTGACCGCAGCGGCGCCCAGCGTCCTGCGCGCGAGCAGAGGAGACCCCCCCCCACCCGAATAGTAAGCGTTAGGAAGGACTCCTCTCTTCTAAGATAACAGTCCTCCTCCTGTACGCGAGGACTTCCTGGTCCAGTAGGGGGCGTTCGACCTGGTTTGAGGGAATTCCCGGCGGGGCTTTCAAAAACGCTCCCTTTTCCCTTCCGCTAACTTCAGGGGCCGGGAATGGACACTTTCACTTTCCTCAGGTCGGGCCGCGCCGCCTAGCTGGCATTCACAGCGCGCAGGAAACTGGATGCCAGCCGCGGACACGGGCACGGCCAGGGTGAGGCACCCCAAGACCTCCCAGTGAGCCAGCGGCCGGGAGCCGGAAGTGCCCCAGGCGCCGGGAGCGCGCCAGGACCGGAAGTGCACCGGGGCCCGGGAGCGCGCGGGGCCCGGAAGACGCGGCGGCCGGAGGAGGTCCGCAGAGTTCGGGCGCCGCGCAGGAAGGCGAGGCTTTAAGTTCCGGGTGGGGTGCGGGTCCCATGACCGTCCGGAATTTGCCTCCCGGCCCGGCTCTGGAAGCTACGAAGGGGCACGAGAACCGGAGCAGGGGACCCTGAGAGCAGGGAAACCGGTAGCCAGGTCGGAGGAGCGCGCCGCAGGTCGGCGCCGCCAGCGCGGGGACCGGCCCCGAGAGCGAGGGCGGGCTGTGAACCGGCGGCACATCGCGTTCCCGCGGGTCCCGGTTCCGCTCAGGCGGGGAGCGGCTGGGATGGGTCGGTCTGAGGTCGGTCCGCGAGCGCGGAGCCCGGGAGCCCCAGCTTCGGGAAGGTGCTGCGGCCGGCCCTTGGGGCCGAGAAGCAGGGCGGGGAGGTTCGGGGTCTGGAGGCTGCAGACCTGGCTGTATATCCAACCAGCTGATTTCAAACTTTTCTGTGATCTTCTGCAAGTTAACTAAGTCTCAGTTCCTTGTTTGCGAAATGTACTTAATATACACCCCAGGGTGAAATAAATTTGTCTGCATGGACTGCAGCGCTGTGGGCTTGGGAGGCGCCTTAGTGGGTAGGAGTCACTAGTATCACTGACTTTTGACAGAAATTAAGGTGCATTGGCAAAGGTGTGCCCCGTGGCCAGACAGGTTGGGAGGAGGGCCTGCTAATACTTTTTCTTAAATTGTAAACAGCCATATGGATGAGCAATATATTATCAAATTATGATTCGGAGAGGACTGTCGCTGACTTCCGGTTTCTGGGCAAACCTCTGCTTCAGGAGCTTCTGGCTTGATTTTTTTTTTTTTTTTTTTTTTTTTTGAGACGGAGTTTCGCTCTTGTTACCCAGGCTGGAGTGCAATGGCGCGATCTCGGCTCACCGCAACCTCCGCCTCCTGGGTTCAGGCAATTCTCCTGCCTCAGCCTCCTGAGTAGCTGGGATTACAGGCGGTGCCACCATGCCCAGCTAATTTTTTGTATTTTTAGTAGAGACAGGGTTTCACCATGTTGACCAGGATGGTCTGGATCTCTTGACCTCGTGATCCACCCGCCTCAGCCTCCCAAAGTGCTGGGATTACAGGCTTGAGCCACCGCGCCCGGCCCTGGCTTGATTCTTAAGTGGAAGGTAGAGACCTAGGCCCTCTGAGTCAACTCCTCTCTGGGTGAGGCCTCAGCTTCGGGACTGCAGAGTGGAGGCAGAACAGTTGGGATAGGGAAAAGAGAGGCCAAACTAGATCTGAGGCTGGCGTGGGCCAGGGGCCTCAGGGTCTACCTACTGGCACAGTGATGCCCCCTGGCCCCTATTGCTGGTTCAAGTTTGACCAATCAGAAGTCTTTTTCGCTTAAGGGCGGGGTGTTGGCCAATGAGACCTTACTGTGAAATAAAATGGCTTCAGTTGATTGTAACTCAGTCACTATAGAGGAGTGGAGAAATCTGGAGTAGGGCAGATGAAAGGGGTATCTTAGGGATCGGATGGGCTGGGCACCCCAGGACAGTGGCATTTGAAGTGGTAATGAGAAGGAACATTAGAGGCCTCGGTCTCCTTCCTTTCCTCCTGTGCTGAGTCAGCACAGATACTGCACGGAGGTATCTCTAGTTGGCTCTGGCTGCCTGTGGGGGCACCAGCTTTGGGGAGGTCAGAGGGCTCTCTGTCCAGCGGCTGTTCTGCCCACAATCACACCTGCTTGATGCCTGTGAATGGCCTTCTGAGTCTCCTGGGCCCTGCTCACCTCTTGGTCACTTCTGGCCTACCCTGCACTGATGAGTAACTGTGCCTGATGACTGGAGGTATTCCAGCTTATTGGAATTCACTGGACTTAATTGTTTTTGTAGGAATCAAAGATCAACTCCCACTGAGGATAAATGGACTGTAATTCTGGGTGTGACTAGAGAGTGAGATTTGCCTTCCTGAATTAAAAAGCAGGTCATTAAGCTTGGGCACTGACACTTCTTTGTGAGAAGGTACAGAGATGGAAACCTTACAAGCTGAGACTAAAAAGAGGGTCCTTCCCTCATGGCTGACAGCCCAGGTGGCTGCAAAGAATGTGGCACCAGTGAAGGCCCCCAAGAGGAGGAGAATGGCAGCAGTGCCGGTGGCAGCAGCAAGGTGCGACAACGCTGGTCAGACGACTCCTGCAAAACGCGAGTGGAGCAGGGACCCCCACGATCTGGGCCGGGTCTTCCAGTTTAGGCAGAACAGCAAGATGGGTGGGTGTTTCAGTCTGATCATCTCCTGAGATCTTAGGAGGTGGATGGGCTGCCGGCGGGAGGCAAAGGCGAGTTGACCCTTGAGGACGCCCTCACTTCTGTCTGCATGGGCGAGTGCTCTGCTGTCAGCACACACAGAGTTGCTTCTCCGTGTCAGCCAGGCTCTGATGCCAGTTGTCCAAAATGCCAGTCTCTTCCTTTGCCACAAACATGGTTCCATTAGATGGGTAAGATCGGGGTAGGGTCTGTTCTCCTGAGCGGTGCCTGCTCTTCCTCTGAACAGACCTTCAGGGATGGACAGATGAGCAGCAGCTGCGGGGCCAGCAAGTGATCAGCAGCTGGGGAGTGAGTGAGTTGAATGATGGTAATTGCTGGAGGGGAGTGTCTCCAGGCTGCAGCATCAAGTGTGCTCCCCCCTCCCCCCATCAAGTGGGTGTTCCCTATTTCCCTGTCCGGCTCCTCCTCCTCTAGGATTTCCTAACTGACAGCCCTCCCTTGTGACGGCTGCCGTCTTTCCCTAAGTGTGGTCCTGCTTTCAGGTTCCTCTCGATGCAGCCTTGGCTTGAGGTCCCCTTCCTCTTGCATCCACGCGTGTGTTTCAGAGGCAGCTGTCCTTCCCTGCGTCCAGATCCTTGTAGGGCAGTTGGTGGAAGGTGGGAGGCACTCCACTGTTGCCTCCAAGAAGCCCGTGCCAGTCACTGGGCTACAAGGCTGAGGAAATTGTGTCTGTGTCGGAGGAAGCGCCTCAGCCTCAGAGGTGCTGGTGCCTCCTGCCTGGTGGGAAGGCACGGGGAAGAGGCCCTCTTGCTCCTGTTTTCTTTGTCCTTGTGAGACCTGAGAGCCTGTGTCATCTGTGCCTTCCGTGTCTTTGTTTCAGACTCCCCGCGACGAGGACTGTGTACTGCATGAACGAGGCTGAGATAGTTGATGTTGCTCTGGGAATCCTGATTGAGGTAAAGTCAGCCGAGCCGCTTAACTCATGACCAGAAACTCTGCAGACTAGGCCCTTGGTCAGTGTCAGTAAGAGAGACACGCTCTGCCGCAGGCTGCGTCTTCTTCCTCCTGCTCCTTGACTCGCTCTTGTCTCGCCCCTGCTCCCCAGGCCTCTCCCCATGCGGTGTGCACCCAGGGGGTGGGTCTTTGGGGCTAGACGCCTGGGAGGGCGTGTGTGTGTGAGGGAGGGCGACTGTGCACTCGTGTGGATGTGGACAGGACATGAAGTGTTTACCTCTTTGTGTTCTTGGAAAGTGTCCCAGTTGGGTAGATAGCCATGGCCCCTCTCCTGAGCAGAGGCTGCTGAACTTCCTGGCTTCTTGCAGTAATAATTGCAGTGCCTCAGAGAAACTACAGCACTCTGTAGTTTCCCAGGTGCCTTGAAAGTGTGTGTTATGTCATTTTAGCCTAGCAAGAACCCTGTGGTGTGGTTGTGTCAAGATGCTATTACAAGAAATCGAGCCTCTGGGACTTTTCCTAGTGCTAAGACGTGGGCCCACACCCAGGTTTTGTATCCTGGGCTCCTTCCGTTCTGTCACCAGCCTTTCTAGACATGCTTCTTCCATTTGTTTTTTTCCTTTCCCCTCAGCTAATCCTTATGTCTCTGCCTGCTTCTCTCCCAAGTGGGTCCTGGCTTCTTCAAAAGCTGAGAAGAGGGGGTCAGGGGCTGGAGTGGGGTGAAGAGAGGGTGAGTGCTCAGGATACGGGTGCATTGCCTGGCCTGGTCACATGGGCTTTGCTTCTGGATATATCGTACGTTACTGACAGACAGATCGGCGTGTTAAGGAAATAAAACACGTTTGTTGAGCCTGCCGTTTCCTGTACCCACAGAGCCGCAAACAGGAAAAGCCCTGCGAGCAGCCAGCCCTGGCAGGCACTGATAACCCACCACCCTCCCCTCCCTGCTCTGTGTCGCCTCACACGAGTTCTGGAAGCAGCAGTGAGGACGAGAACAGTGGGAAAGAGGCACCGGCCCCAGGCCCCAGCCCTTCCCAGAGGCCGGGGAGTTCCAATTCCCCCTCCAGCAGGAGCCCCGAGGAGGAGGACGAGGAGGAAGAGGAGGATGCGCTGAAATACGTCAGGGAGATCTTTTTCAGCTAGGGCATAAACACGGAACTTCCTGCCGAGAGCAGCTGGAGGGCAGCTGAGCTTCCGCTGGTGCTGCTGGGCCGCCCGCCTGTGGGAATGGGGCTCTCTGTGCTCCCACCTTTGTGCCTTCCTGGGCCTGGCAGATTCACTCCAGGCCTTGGGGCTGCCGTTCTGAGTATGCGGAAGCCATGGCTCAAAAGAGATCCCATTCGAATCCCTCTGTGTGTACTGCGCCCTCTCCCAGCTCTGAGGCGCTGGAATCCCAACTGTCTGTGGTAGTCAGTGACCAGGTTCCAGGGAGAATGATGTCATATGCTGGTCCAGCTGACTGGAACCAAAGAGACAATACCTTTCAAAGAAAAGGAGCGCAGCTAGGCGCCCTGGAATTGCTACAGTTTAGTCCGCATAATCTCTCCTGAAGGAGGAAGCCTGTTTAAAAAATAGTTTCTATCATGGTCAGTCAATCAATGAGCTCCCACCCCTCCAGCCAGCCTAGAAGGCAAACGAGCTACCCACAGTTCTCTGCCCTGTCTGGGAGCTTGAGGCCACAGCGTACAGACTGGTAAGCCAGACAGGCCTCTTCCCCCAAGCTGCTACCTTGCTTTCACCGGTACCTTGGTCCCCAGGCAGTTAGCTATAAAGCAAGAGGGACAGCCCAGAAGAGACACTGAAGACGAGATCACACCTGAGTCCATGTTTCTGCCTCTGTTTTCAATGTGGCCTTGGACGGGCGTAGATGAGTAAATCATTTGCCATACAGGTTTTCCGATACACAGGCGCTGGAAAATACACAACATTCCCCAGTGTGTAAGTTGTGTCAATGTCCTTTCCAGGCCCTGGTTGGAAAGTGGAGGGTGGCAGCATTTGTATGTGTACAACCGTCCCGTCCCGTTCACACTGATTTGGTGTCCCCCTGGGTCTCATCATGGGAGTGATTTGCCGGCAGATGCATCTGCTCTATCAGGCTTCAGGTCCAGGGAAGCTTTGAAGCAACTAAGGCTTCTCTTTGTGCCCCATGTGTCCTGTCTTTGTCGAGTCACTCAGAGATCATTCCTGGGCCTGTGGAAGTGGAGTCCCAGTGGTGGCTCATGGCAGCCCACTCCCCATGGTGGGCCTGGTGGAAGCTCCCTAATCAGGGCCCCCGGGACGCTGAGGTGCTCACTTTTTTTTTTAAATATCCTCATTTGTTGCCATAAATCTTCGCTAGATTTCAGTTTGGCATTTTGCAAATCAGCCTGGACGTCTGGCCTTATGATGGGAATCATTCCCTCCTGAAGCTAGAGGAAGATTTGCTCAGATCCATTAATTAAAGCAGAAATTGCTATGACAATGAGCTGCATGGTTTTAGGGAGTCTTTGGAAGCCTTGGATGTCCTGAAGGACAGACAATCCTACACTAAGAAGCCACAGGTGCTCTGGCTGCCCTTGGTGTCCCTTGGCCTCCTTGATGTGGGGTCCCCACCTCTGTAGTGGGTTCCATCTGCTGGAGCTGGAGATCAGTATTAGCTATAAAATGAGATGGCTGAAAAGATGTGCCACCTCTGAGCGTGGCTGGAACTGAACCCTTGCAATCACATAAGCGTTTAGCAGCTCTGAAGCTCGCTTTTAGCTCTGTCAGCCCTCAGAGGGAACACAGTTGTGGCCATGAGCAAGAGGATGAGTAAGCCCTGGGCGCTGCTCAGAGCAAGAAACCCAGGCCCCAGGAGGGAGAGCCTGACCCATTTCCACACATAGGAGAGGAAGAGGCCCAGGCCGCCAGCCAGTAGCATGGAGGATGCACCCAGGAAGCCCACTGCCAGCCTCCACTCTCCCTCGTCACTGTTGCACCGGGCTAGGAGGAGAGGCAGGGGCACAAAGAGGGTGAGGACCAGGGCCCCATACACGCCAAGCCTGGCCAGGGCCAGGCCAACCCGAGGCACCCCCAGGGCCTCCAGCTCAGGGAACTGGTGACACTGTAGGGCGCCGGTGTCCTCATTCCACAAGCAGAAGTTGTAGAAGCCGATTCTCAGGTTGGGCAGGTCAGTGAGGTTGCCAGCCTTCCAGAGGAGAGCGTAGAACATCAGGGAGATGACCACAACCGTGAGGACCATGATGCTCACGAACAGCAGCAGGTCGCCCCACCGAGGCCTTGGGCTGGCCATCTCTCCTGCCCTCTGCCGGGGGACCTGCGGGGAAGTCACAGCCATCAGTCCAGCTCTCCCTTGCTTGCTCCCTGTGTCCTCACAAGCTCATGTTCTCCCTTTGGCATTTCTTACAAACCCATGGCAACCTTCCCTCCTACCCTGCCCTCTGCCAAAGGCCAGAAATCTGAGGTGACCTCCTGCCAGGATCCTTTCCTAGTAAGTCATTAGCTGCCCTCTGATTTGAGGTTGGGAGGAAAAGTCTCCCAGGCAGCTTTGAACGTGTAAAACATCTTAAACTGAGCAAAGTGCCCTTTAGCCAAAGGCTTTGCTCCAGTCCAAATACAAGCCACTGGAAGCATTAGTGAGGGGATTTCTCAGATCTTTTTTGAAGCTGGGTTTTGGCTGAGTTGCAGGGCAAGGCCCACCCTTGCTGGGGACCTGAAGATGGAGGAAGGTATTGGTTTTTACTACAGCTGCCAAGACAACCACCTGGGGAGCTGTAAGAACTACCCATTGCTGGGCCACAGATCGATCAAAGCCCAACTTTTGTGCTTAGTGCTGGGCACTGGTGTGTTTCTGAAGCTCTGTAGCTCGTTCAAAGCTGAGCCTGGGCTGAGGACCACTGCCACACCCACTCTGATTTTACCTGCTGTGCTCTGGGAACTCATTACTGGGCCAAGACAAGACATTACCTGGTGATGAAATCTCATTATATGTTCATTATTTTAAAAACATACATTTTTTTCTGACAGTGGTAATATATGTTAATTAAAGAAAACAATAGAGGATTTTTTTTTTTTTTGAGATGGAGTCTCACTGTCAGGGAGGCTGGAGTGCAGTGGTGCGATCTCAGCTCACTGCAACCTCCACCTCCCAGGTTCAAGCGATTCTCCTGCCTCAGCCTCTCGAGTACCTGGGACTATGGGCATCTGCCATCATGCCTGATTAATTTTCGTGTTTTGGTAGAGATGGGTTTCGCCATGTTGGCCAGGCTGGTTGCAAACTCCTGACCTCAAATGATTCACCCACCTTGGCCTCCCAAAGTGCTGGGATTACAGGCTTTTGCAAAAACAAACAAACCTTTTATCCCACCATACATATCATAAAACCACTGTTAATATTCTACCAATATTTTCTACCTGTGCTGATGTATTTTTACGTAATCATGCTGTTAAACATAATGTTTTTCACTAGATTTAATAAACATTTTTCAACATTATTAAATATTCTTCAAAAACATGATCAATGGCTGCATAATAGTTCACATGGAATCATCCATTACCCTATCATTAGACAAATTGTTTCCACTTTTCACCATTATAAGTGATGGTCAGTGAAGATGCTTGTGCGAATCTTGTTTGGAATCTGATTTTTTTTCTCAGGTGAGCTACCTGTAAGTGCACTTGTTGGGTAGAAATATCTTTTAGTGATCTTGCTGAATATTGCCTAACTGGCCTACAGAAAACTTGCTAATCATAGTCCGTCTAGTTGTATATAAAAGCGCCTACTTTGTTATACTCTTTTTAAAACATTATTTTCACTACTTTTTAAATCCGAGTGGCTTTGTCCAGTTGGCCTCTGAAACAGTGGTCTGCACACTGTACCTTTACATATGTGTATTTTCCAATATGGAATAAGCTTTGGCTAATATGGTTTGGCTGTGTCCCCACCCAAATCTCATTTTGAATTATAGCTCCCATAATCCCCACGTCATAGGAGGGACCCAGTGGGAGGTAATTGGATCGTGGGGGTGGGTTTTCCCCATATTGTACTCATGGTAGTAAGTCTCATATCTGATGGTTTAATAAAGGGCACATGTTCTCTTGCCTGCTGCCATGTAAGATGTGCTTTTGCTCATCCGCTGCCATGTAAGATGTGCTTTTGCTCATCCTTTGCCTTCCACCATGATTGTGAGGTCTCCCCAGCCATGTGGAACTGTGACTCCATTAAACCTCTTTTTCTTTATAAATTACCCAGTCTCAGGTATCTCTTCATAGCAGCATAAAAATGGACTAATACAACAGCATTCACACCTGGAAGTGACCAGGAACACACAGCTTCAGGCTTTGTGAGGCACAAGATACTGGGGCCATGATATCAGGTGGCCTCCTGTAAGCCCTGGGAAGGAGTCCCAGGTGGTCTTCAGCAGCAAAATGAGTGGTGGCCCTGGGGAATGACCCAGAGGCTACACAGCCCTGATGATCAGCTTCTTAGGGGACCCCTCTGGAGGAACAGGCCCCTCCTCTTCCCCAGAGGTGACTGGAAGGTCTGTCTCATTCCACATACTGCATTTGTTCTGCGAGAACAGAAAGGGACCAAGTGGGGAAAAAAACACCATGGAACAAGCTGAGAGAGAGGGTGGTTCCATTCAAAGGACCTGGTGTGTAATAAAGGTTGACCAGCAACTCCTTTGTCAGAGACCTGGGCACACTGGCCAGCAGAGAGCTGGGGCCTGGGAGTACAGCAAGGGCAGGGTCCACACTGCTACCACCTCCCCTTGGATGCCACTGCTCCGGGCTCAGCAGTACTGGGCCGTCTGTTCAGTTCTGCCTAGGTCTGCCTGTGGCTTCTGCTCCAGAGGAGCTGGGTGGGCACAGTTGGAGTGGAGGAGTGAAGGCTGTCCCAGGAGAGGCCCTGGCTGCCGCCTCCAGTGGCACTGTCTCTCCAAGGCTCTGGAGGTCCTGGGGCCAAGGACCTGAAGACCCAAGTTTGAACATAGTTGAGAGATTCTTGGAGCAATGATGCTTGTGACAGATTTATTGGGAATTGAAAAGATGGCTTTGGTCTGCGTATTATTAGCCTGGGATGATAAGGAGTTTTAACCATTTGAGTCTGTGGTATGGGAAAAGTTGCCAACAGGAACATATTTTGTATGGTTTTGCTTATTTAGCAAATGTTGTAAAAGCCTATATCGATGCTTTTAATGGGTTTGGGTATTTTAGGGCAGGCGTCCCCAAACTTTTTACACAGGGGGCCAGTTCACTGTCCGTCAGACCGTTGGAGGGCCGCCCACATACTGTGCTCCTCTGACTGACTGCCAATGAAAGAGGTGCCCCTTCCTGAAGTGCGGCGGGGGGGCTGGATAAATGGCCACAGGGGGCCACATGCGGCCCACGGTCCGTAGTTTGGGGATGCCTGTTTTAGGGTGTGCATGAATTTCCAGGACTTGTCTGATTTATATCTACTGTTGTGCTGTGGAAAAGGTTTGACTTGCTCCATTGTTCAGGACCAACTGGGAAGGGACTTGGGGATGCCTTTGTTTAAACACTCCCTCTCACTTTTCCTATTTGAATTCTGTTATACTGGGACCCGCCCCCCCCCCCCAAAAAAAAATTATGAAGCATTTTGCCTCGAAAACAGAGCTCCCTTTTAAAAAATTAATGTGGCTCCTCAGAGGGGAGATTGCATCAGCCACCTCATGGCAGCTCCTTCCAGGCACCAGGAACCTTTGTTTTGACTTCCTCATTTTTCTCTGAACTGACCTTTTGGTGGTTTTAAATGTAGAGCAAAACAAAATAAAACAAGCCAAGAAGCCCAGGACCAGGCATGTGGCGAAGGTGGCAGTCCCTCACCTTTTGGCAGTCCCAGCTCCTATGAGGCTCTCCACTATCTGGTGCGACTTGGAACTTGAACTTGGAATTCTCTGGTGACGTCCAGCTTGCACTCTTGCCTTGTGCAGTCTAGCACCTGCTCGGCTGCTCAGGCTGTGTATTAATACATTCCCATCTGCCCATCCTCAGCTACTCCCCAGCTCCTAAAGTTCTACCCGACTTTCCGTTTCTCTAAATCTGATCCATGCAGCATGAGCATTCATTCCTGGGCTCCTTCAGCCCACACTCTGGTTTAGCTATAAATTAGGATTTACTCTCCAGCCCAGTGTCATGTCTCAGAGGAACAATCTTCATCTGTTTTGCTGTTTTGATACACAGTAGGGGCCTTTTTTTTTTTTTTTTTTTTTAAATGAGTGAATGAAATTGCTACATGGTCTCCCTGAATTCTTTCATGTAGGAATCTTGGTTACACGTCTTAAGACAGCAGAGCTGCTTGAGTGAGGGCTGTGTTTAATGTCACATGCATGCCCAGCACAATGCTGGCGTGGCCCATCCATGCTTTCCATTGGAACTATGGACAGACTTTAGGAACTTGTGTATGGAGAGGGTGGAGGTTAGTGCTCTCTTCTTTCCCTAAACGTTTTGCAGTGGCAGCATATGGTTCTTTGGTTGGAAATCTCATAAGACTCTTCTCCTCTACTTCCCCACGGGCCTACCCTGGTTTTTGTTTTTGTTTTTGTTTTTGTTTTTGTTTTTCTTTTCTTAAACAATCCTGATAATGACACCTTCACCACAGTGAACTTTTAAATTCCCTTTAATGATTAGCCAGTGTTTCCTTCAGAGGGCAAATGGGAGACTGCTGAGTCACTGGCCATTTTTAGATGAACTTTTTCCTGTTTATAAAATAACACATGCTGATTTCAGGAAACTAGAAAATACATGAAAGTGCAAAGAAAAGACTAAAATTCATCTGTGACTTCACATTGTAGAAATAACCACTCTGAACAGCACGCTTCTTTTATAGTGTTGCTTTACACTGTTGGGATTACATATGTATGTTTGTATCCCACTTTGTGAACATCATTCTACTTGAACTAGAAAGTTTCCTAAACACTATTTTAAGGGCTGCATATAACTGTATCATAATTTATAGTGTATACACATGATGCTTTGTAACGTTATTTTGTAATGGTATGAATGCTATGGTGAATATGTTGTGAATCAATTTATCCTTCCACCAGGAGTTTAAGAGAGTGTATGTCTCATCTCATCCTCCCCAGTATTGCATATTCTTGAGTCTTTTATTCTTTGATAATGACAAATGATGAATCAGTGATAGTTTTTCTTCGTATGAGTAAAGTTTAACGTTTTCAAGTGTTTGTTGACCATCTGTATTTCTTCTCTTGTGAAGTGCTGTCAGTTCTTTTGCTATTTTAAAAATCATTTTGAGTTTCAGTTTTTGTTTGTTGGTCTGTATGAACCCTTTAAAAA